TATATATATATATATATATATATATATATATATATATATATATAAAAATAAAAGTTTGTTTCGGTTTGTGTTTTTCTCAGCATTTCTTACATTATCAAAAGATTGACTCATAATTAAGGACAGCCGCAGACAGAATAGCTGTGGAATAGTTCTGTAATTTGTCACAGCCTCGAGTCATTTATGCTCTGCAGGGAATCCATTCCAGTTTTATTTTTGTGCGCTGGTATGTGAATCTGTGTGTCAGTTGGGTGATGGATTTTTCATGTGCGTAAGCCGTGGGGTCAGTCTTTTGTGGCATTCGCGTCCTGATGGCTTTTATTCAGCAGAACAGGATCCTGTATGAGTCTTGCGAATCGGGGATGGGTACTTTGTTTCAGGAGCTGCTGGATGCACCATTTGGTGTATATTGCTTTTGATTTATTTTTTTGTGTTATTCTAAAACCCTTTGAGCTTTCCTGGTAAGTTTTTTTTTTATTTTATTTTTTTTGTGAAGGGGGACACGCAAAGAGTGCGTTGAAGATCCTGTGCTGGTTATTGGTTTTGTCTGTCTGCTGACTCAAGTGCTGCTTTGCTGTCACGTCACATAACTGTTTGCAGGCAGTGTTTTAATAACCCCACCTCCAGCCAGTTCCCCTGTTGGTATTTTGAGAAGAACCCCCACAGGGTGAGTTATCACATTCGTTTGATGCCTCGTTTCTGTAGAAGCTGAAAGTGCCAGGTGGGGACCCCAAGGAGGACAAGCAGGGAGCGTCAGCACCATCCACCCCCTCTGTTACCCCGAGCATCACCCCCAGTGTGACCCCCCACGCCTCCCCCAGACTCAATCACAGGTACAGACATCAGTGTCATAGAACATGGTTTCCAGTCTACAGTGTCATCCTTAAGCATAACCCCCCTCCACCCAATCATGTGCCCCAGTGCACATGCCCAAAGTTTCACTCTTAACTCTATATGTATGTGAGGTATGTTACTCATGAGAGTAGGATGGGATATGTGCGAAGAAACATTCCAGGTTATCTGTCCTCATGCTTTTGCAAAGGGCAAATAAAGCATCATTTCATTTCAGACATTAACGGCATTCCATCCTTTGTCTCCTAGGAGCTGGTTCTCCCAGAGCTCCGTGGCGCTTCTTGGTGATTCAGAATTTAGGAGCTCCATCGACAGCGCTGATATGGGCGGCAACGAGGGTGGAGGAGGCGTGGAGCGCTGGGGACTCTTTTCGACACGCACCACAGTGCAAAAGTCCTCCACTGATCCAGGTGAGAAGGCTGTTTGTTTTAGTTTTGTTACGCAACGTCTGACGCACATTGGATTGACAGACCTAATACCGATCTTTTTTCTCCATGTTTAAGTGGTTTCTCATCTGCCTTATTGCAGGGACCCTGAATCTGCAGGCCTATCAGGGAGAGAGGACCACCATCCCCATCGAGGAGATGAAGACCCAAGTCACCCGCATGGTTGAGGACTCCATCAGCCTCAGAGCCCCTAAACTGGAGATCCCTACCTTGGATGCAGTGAGACAGGTGCCCCGGCCACACAAACTCAAACCCAGAGATATAAATGCCCTCACTCCTTCTGGCTTCTGAAGTCCCCATCTTCCTCCTTGAATGTGACCTCGTTACAGCTGGTCTGCCTTGTTTTTCATCCACTGAAAAGTGCACTGAACTTGGGTCCCACAATCCTCCTGTTATGGTGCCAATTGTTGGGTACTGCAAAGTCCGGGAAATTAAATGAACTAAAGTTTAGTTTATATATATGATTTTCCCCACTTCTTTGTTAATAAAGATCAGTGCCGTACAAATGCAATAGCTGGAGCCACTTTTTAATATGTATGTGTGTGTGTATATATATATATTTTAGTGCATGTTATGCTGTATTTACCCCCCCTAACCACCTGACAATTTCTGTTGATTTGAGTGGTTGTGAGATTGATATTGTGATGAGAAAACATTCTCAGGTCTGTGTAAAAACTGTAAAGACAATATACTTGTCTGTGCCAACGCATTAAAACATGGAACACTATTGTAACGCATAATTAGCATTTGCCTTTTCCTGTCTTAGCGTTGCGGCTGACATACATTTCATAATGGAGTTCTTTTGGTTGATATCAGTTTTTTTTCTTTTTTTTTTAATTTGTTGCTGGGATTCAAAACGTAGGGTGTGTAATGTTTTATTTGGCTGGCTAACCTGTTAGCTAATGTAAACTGATAATTACTGCCTTCTACCCCAGTTGTCGTTTGAGTCCCTTTAAGGGTGAGATGCTATTACTTACTTTAAATGTTTGTATGATATTTTTCTTCCTTTGTAAAACTGTCAAAAGATATTCCCTTAGTTTAATGTATATGTTCAGAGTTTTGTGGCGCAAGTAGCTTCAAGAGTATATTGCAAGTTGCACAGGCATTAAATGTTAATTTTATATTTTGTATTGAATATGCTCTGGCATCTTTGGATTTAATGCTTTTTTTCCCGTCAGAATTAACAATCTCATGGTGGAGATGAGATTTGTTTTTGTTTTTTTTTAGTGGAAAATAAAGTACTTAATTTTGCATTTATACATGTTGTGTTCTAAATTATTGTGGTTGCATAATTTAAATAGCTGAGTTTCAAACGGGGTTTGCCCCCTCCCCCCCTGGTCGCCAGATTTTTATAAGGTTACCTCACGGAAGATCATTACAGTGTGTATATAACTAGATATTTTAGTTACAAGTTCCAACTCTTTAGACCGAGTGGTTAAATGGGTGATTTCATGTGTAACACCGGTAGGATTTTTATCTCCAGAATGGCTGTTTAACCATTGTGTCACCATGAAGGCTGTAATGCGAATTGTCATTGTGTAGGTATGAGTATCCACAAAACGCATGTGTCCATTTGCACCCAATTCCTGTCTTTTCTGATTTTGTAAGTATAAAAAACAAGAAGGGAAATACCCGGCAGATTGGGAACACGAAACGCGAGAAGACACCTCACTTACCGACTCGGAAAACAATAAGGGTTAGTTGCGTAACACTTCACAACACAACACACAACACACAAATAGTAATAACTCAGTTACTACTGAAGTAGAAATCATGAACATACCAACAAATATAGTCGCTATTTGAAAGCTGCATCACAATTCATTAATGAACAAACATGAGATCAGTATTTCACTTGGGTTATTCATTACTTGTCCCTTCAGTAGTTAACAAAGATTTGCAGAATTAACATAGTGACATACAGTAACTGCTTGAGATAAAAGGTGCATAATGATTCATTAATTATGAATTAACGTGAGATCTGTATGTAGCTAAACTTAGTTCGTGGTTAAGTAATACATAAGTAATATTATAATACTGTATTATTTATGTCCCGTCAAGTAAAGTGTTACCAGAAGAACCTCTCCGCCTACCCCTATCACGAACGACGTTTAAAGGCATACCTCCGCGTACCACTAGGGGGAGCTCAAATACCATAGTTTGGGTGCCACTGCTCCAGCTTTTACCGACGATTTTCTATGATTAGCTGTGTGGTTGAGGGATATAGTATGTAAATGATAAAAAGAAGTAATGGCCTAAGATAGTCAACAAGAGCAATTGTTTGTTTTCGAGTGGGTATTTCCTGCCTCAGCCGGGCTTGTGAAAGCGGGGAAAACGCTCGAATTGCGTTTTTCGTGAGCTTCGGAATGGTTGGTTTTATAAGAACGATCGATTGAAAAGTGAAACTGGATCATAAGGGAGCTCGTTTTGATCTCCAAAAAGGGTGGCGTGCAATGCGCTTTGTGGTGCGGAGTGTGTTGTGTAAAGAGCAGGGCGTGTTTGGCAGCGCTCCATGGCAATGACTGCGGAGTCGCTTTAGCGCGTTGAAGGATTTGGAAAAGATTTAGGAAAATATTTACAGCACCGCGATAAGTGTTTTAGCTGTTCGAATGCGCATGAATAAAAATTAAGATTTGCGATACTTTGTCTTTCATGTAGCAAACTTTGTCTTAAAAATATGAGTTTTTTTTTACTTGCAGTAGGAAGTTAGTTCTACCTAACAATCAGGTTCTGCGCTATTGTCTTTTTTTTTTTTTTAACCCTGTCTGACTTGCCCAGGTGGCCTAGGTGTTGTAGTCTTGTCTTGTCTTGGTGTCTGAGTTGCCACATTGTGTGTCGTTCCTCTTCTTCTGAAGGAGACCAAAACCTCAACTTTTGCTAAACTACGCAATCGCCTATGGAAAGGTGCCAGAGCGAATGCAGCCAGAAACAACATATCGCTGCCAGCAGCACCACCCAGGACCCAAACTCTGTTCAGCCCCCCACGTGGGGATGTCTAACATATGCTGTCCAGGCTTCAGTCCCCCACCCCCCATTCTCCATCTTTCTGGGATCTGCCCAGTGAGACACGGAGGGTCATTTCCTACGTGTTGCCAAGGCCCCAGGGGGGGCGTCTGTTGTTTATAAAGAAATGGATGTGAGCCCAATCCCTGCCCACTGAGGCTGAGTTTTCCCTCTGATTCACTGGAGCTCCACTACACATCATTCACTGGTCAGTGACGTCAGAGGTTTGCCACATAGAAGAACCTAGGAACTACAGTGAATGGAGAAATATCTTCAGTATCCTGTTGTTTAGTTAAGTGTTTGAAAAAATTTTTTTGGTCTACATAATCATTCTAATTTATAATCCTCCACCCTCAACCCACTCTGAGGCATTTCACTGTTTAAAAAAGTTGGTTTTTACTGGCAGGATATTACGAAATGGTTGGACTGGACGTCTGCTGGGTGCAGGTCCCCCTCCATGGGAAAGAGAGCGATGTTGTGTTACACTCATCTGGACCTCGTGAGGTTCCCGTCTGCCAAAGAACCCGCTTTGCAGCGGGGAATCGGCGTCCCTCTGCGTGTAGAGGCAGATTTCCGTAGAGGCGCCTTCTCCAAACAGCTGGCCTTTTGGCTGAGCTCACTGTCAGGCCCACAGCAGGGGAACAGATGAGCTGCATCGGGGGGGGGGGGGGGGGTGGACCCCTCCCCAACCTTGAGAGTCTACTTGGAGTTGGAGGTGGACTGGGGCTCCAGTCAGAGGTGGGAGGTCTAGGGGAGTCTCGGTTATCAAGGATGGGGGAAGGGACAGGAAAAACTCCTCTGTTGCAGCCTGGATCCCCGCCCCTCCACCTCCCCTGTGTTCCTTTACTGTTTGCAGTCAAGAGCTGTGTTGTGTTTGCACAAAACAGTCAAACACAGAGTTTCTAGAACGTATGAATAACGATTCCGTGTGGTTTTGCATATATGTTTACTACGTTTTTTTCTGATTCTATATTTGGGCAGTTCCCCGGTAAGCAACCTTCTGCCGGAACTAATGACTGTAGTCTCATTCTCTTAACAGAAGTCATTGCATTGAAGCAGACTGAGAAATGACATTCCCTGGAACATAAATGTCATGCCTTTTAATACAAGGTACAGTTTTCTTGGCTGGTGCTCAAGGATATTTTGCAAGATTTTACTCTTTCTTTATTGCTGCCGGGTAAAAATATATACGGTAGGTTTTAATTGCTACTATCACTGGAATATGAAAAGGGTGGCGTCGAGCAATTAAGATTATCGTCTAATTCATACCTTTGAAGTACCTAGGTGTGTCTCCAGTTTATTACACTTGTCATGAATTAAAGATTTCACACTAAAGGACAACAACGGTTTTCGATTTTAGCTCAAGGACACTGGTGCAAACCATCAGGAGGGTATCAGTCAATCCTTAATGCACCTCTTATATATTGCATTTTTTAATGTGAGACGGGGGAGTTCGTTGGGTTGTTAGTTTGGTTATTGTACTTTCAGCCACTCGACATGTCACAGCATCCCAGCGAAGCTGGAATCTTCAGTCCTCAAAAGAACTGACCTGGGATCTGAGGTTATGTTCATGCCCCACCTCCAAGAACGTTGTACTCTTTATTTTACGATGAATTGTAAAGGGGGGGCAGGGCAAATAACAATCATCACTGCAGTCTGATTGAAAAATGTGCCACGGGGAAGTGAAACAATGCTCCCTGTTGGTGTATTGTCACATAATTTAGGCAGGGTATATTGGTAATTTGACGCAATTTTAAGCTGGCTGTTAATGGATGTACTTCAAAAGTGGTCAAAGCTGTTTTGTTATTTTAACCCCATTGGCATGCAAGTTACACATACTTTCTGGAGTTAAGAAGATATTCTGTTTATTGTTAAAAGATAATCTTTTGTACGTCACGGGAAGCAAAAAAATAATTTGGTGTCTTCATATATGTTGTTTTTTTTATTATTATTATTATTACAGCTGCATGACACAGCTATAGCTTGTTGGAAAGTTCAGAAAGGATTTTTCATTATATCAAATCTGGTCACAGTCTCAAATTCATCTTTTGCATAAGTCTGTTTTTTCAAGGTCAAAGTTCGTCTCACAAACTGCATTTTTTTTGCTACATTTGGTTATGAATAAAACAGAAAGGCTTAGAGTAAGACGTCAAGGGTTTTTTTTTTTTTAATGAAATTCATATGTACGTTTACTATTTGTATCTATAACATTGAGTTGTTCCTTGGTCTCCTTCTTGGGAGAAGAACTCCAAAAATGTACAATTATATTTGACCTTCAAAAATGCATTTGGAGGGAGGGGTAAATGTTTTTAACTTAATTGGGAAGAAAGTACTCTTTGCCTGCTTCAAACAAAAAACCCAAAACAATTATTGTTATTCGAAGCGGTGTAGGAGTTACGTGACTTTGAACATTTTACTCCCCTGTTGTAGAAAAGGCAGTATTTCTCAAAGGGACTATTTTTAATAAACAAAAAACATTCCTGAGCTCTGGAAGGTAAATTACATGCCAAATGTCATCAAAATTGAAACTGATGATACAAAGGCCATTTATTGAATTAAAATTGAATGACCCTTTTAGAATATTACCATTGCCAAAAAAGTTAATGTATCTGTATCCTAAGCTGGCCTATTTGATGCAAGGCAAACAAGACTGACATGCCTGAGGAGTGCAGGACTTGCTTGACTAGAGAACTCTAATAATTTTTTTTAAGATAAGCGAGACAGAAAGAAACAAAACAAGTTCTTTCCAAGTAAATCGCACTGAAACTCTCAATATTTGCACTGAGCTCAGTTATGTGTGTTGTAGCAGTAATGGCAGCCCACCTCATCAAGCTGATTCACGCCGGTT